CTAAATTGACCTATCTTTATGATTTTTACTTCAAACACATGCAAAATTAACACTATTGAGTTGTCCTTTATGCTGGCTCAAATTAGAGTTGTAGGCTATGCTCATTAAAGCCGTCGAGCATTCTAGGCATGGAAGGAGGTATGTAGGACCACCGGTACGATATAATAGTAACTTCAGAAGAACATGAGGAATTTATGCCACCCTCGATGGTGCATAGAGAAGACGATGTTGAGGAGGAGCCCCCTTGAGTAGTATCGGTGGTGGATACATCAACCAGAACATTGCCCTATGTGAGGTAGGCGGTGGAAGCATCCACTTCTTCATCCAATCCTCGCCAAGGCTTATCCAATAAGCCAAGGCTCTAGCATATTATCGAATAGACACTACGTGCCTGTTGAAGCATTTAATGACCTAGTACTCCGGCTTAACACTGCATTAATGGAAAACCCTTTTGTCAGCAATGCTTACGCAGCCGTGATAATACTGCGTTCTGGTGTAATACAACCCTGTTGTCTGCCACCTGACATCACAGGTACATTGCCCTTGAGGGGAATAGGAGGCAAATTAAATGTTTTAGGTGGATAGGTAATGAGATGCTATGAATTCTTTCTGTTTTTCCTTGCATTTATTTCTTCCTAGCTTTTACTTGATTCTGCAAATCATGGGTATATAACCTCACACTAAAAGTGGAATCGATGCCGTGGTTGCTATTAATATGTATGAGAATGCCAAGCCCACATTTCAACCAGATGTGTGTCTATGCATGGAATCTTCCACTACAATTTACCCAATCAGATCTCATCGCTTACTTTGAACCATTCAAATTGATTGCAGAGGCCTCTGTGGAGGACAATTTGTCACGCACTGATCAACGGCGTCACGGTATTTTATTATCACCCACTGCAATCTGCACGTTTCAATAATTTATTTAATTATCATTTATCCTGTAGCATTCGTACGTTATTACAACCTAGAAAGTGGAAGGACAGCTGTTGCAAATATGGACGGCCGTGTGATGGGCGGCTGTGGACTGGCAGCTATGCGTGAGTCAAGATAATTAAATGTTTCCATGTCTACTTTACTACTCTGTAAAGGGACACATGATGGCTTCAAAAAATATTCAGTCTATTTTCCTATCCAGATACGGATGTAGCGCCGATGTAAATTTCAGCACCATGGAAACCGTCTGTCATCTGCTACGCCTGCTCTCTTCCCTCCCCTAAGTTTAAACATTCGGCACCAGCAACGGTTGGACCATATGATATGCTCTCTTGGCCATGTAGTCAGTGTATACGAATCCTCGCTTCGTTTTCACGATGCCTACATTTATACCCTGGAAGTGTATTTTATCTCCACTTTGTCCAATGCCAAACATGTACTGATAAAGAGAGAATTCCTTACTTTACTGTTGTTGACAGGTGCGATCCTCCACTAGATTAGCGGAAAAGGATTATAGAGGTCCACAGTTAACTAATATTTCATCAATTTACATGCTGCAAAACCTGTTTGACCACATGCTTATTAGCTTACACTAACCAATCTCTTTGAAGCTAGGGGCTGATGTAAAACTAGATGCATGAGCATGTATATGAGCCAATTATAGTCAGATATGGCTGATCAGAACCAAAA